TCATCTTAGAGTAAATATAGACAAGTGTTTTCCACGACAGTTTCATCATAGAGCAAATATAGACAAGTTGTATACCAAAATGTTTGCAATAAAATGTGCAATTGAATGGTACCAAAATCACACAGCCTTAATTGGTTCTCGTTAATAAATTTGGTGTTTATTTTTTCACTGCCAAGACTCATGGAATGACCTAGTAATATTATTGTACTGCGCTACTGTACTGTGTTATTGTGCTGCATTACTATTGTATTCAGTAAATGGTGTTATTGAAAATTCGAACAGCTTATCAGAAAAGACTATTTCATAGCGTAAATCATGTTATATATTTAGTTAACAACTAATTCCATAAAGTAACATTCAATTGTTGGCTTTCCAGTGATAAGTTTATCGTATCGCTTGACTACTACAGTGTAGAACTTATTTTCTCTGGCAACATGGCAAAAGATTTCCTATAACCTATTGTATTCATGTGTTCATTTATATATTACACTGTACACGAACTGTTCTGCAAAATGAATGGAAAAGATCACATATGGTTGAGTCAAGAGAATCTTATAGCCCTCAGGAAGGACGTCGCACTCAGTCTATAGGCTTCTTCAGTTATCGAAGCAGTTACTTTTGATCAAAGAAGTTTTTCTCGGACCGGACTTTTGCAATCAATCTTTAGTTTGTGGATGTAGGGATCCAACTGACCCATCAAATACTGCATTCTAAATAATGCAACAATTGATTATTTGCAGCATGCTCCATTACCGAAAATAGCGAAGTACGCATTGTCGAAGCATCTGTTTTGGTGAAACAATTGAACAACTGCAAGCATTTTAAGAGGAGTCTCGGTGAATCGTCATTGACCATCAAAAAATGTGTGAACTTTCTAAGCGAAACTTTGTCATCGGAATGTCAAGGTAATAATTTACATTGATTTTTTTCAAATTTATCGTTATTACAGAAGTGTTCTTGTGTTATAATCAAATACCCGAAAATGCTAATTGCTGTGAGAGACTTCAACCTCGGGCGGGAGTTGAATCCACGTTTCATCGGGATCAAGGGCTCGTGCTACTACTACACCACCAAGATTACTGGTCAGCTGTCATTCCTTCCTCGATAACTGCTTAACAGTCTAATCTGCTAGCGGTTGGCTGCTGATATCTCCGATGCATCATATAAAAGAAAGACTCGTAGCAGAGCGTGGCTTGTCGCGCTATCAGTATGGGACGCAAGTTCAACACTCACGGGGTCGAAAGTTTTCCATATCACTCAGCATCTTCGGTTTCGGTACTAGTTAATGTTCTACTTGGTATGCCATTTCAATACTACACTTTTTAAAGGCAAGCGTACATTATACGTACATATATATATATATATATATATATATATATATATATATATATGTGTAAATGTTTTATTTCTACACTAGTACATAAGTACAATAAATTTATAGGACACGACAAATAGTCTCCATAAAAATAAATCTCTATGATCAACCTATAAATCTATAATAAATCTGTAGGCTCATAGATTTCTTGATATAGTATAAATGTAATAACTCTACAAGAGCTCTGCCTTGGATATAGCGAGAACACTGAGTAAATTGAGTGTTACTATTCACTGCGATGCCAGCGGGTACGACGAGTGTCGTTGTAAGCCAAATATGGTAAGTAAAGAACTTGTATAGCATATTAGTCGTATTTGATTATTATTTATTGCCTATAAAAAGCATTATGCAAAGACGATCACAAGAATGCTGAGGTAAGAAGAAAACTGGGCGGCTGAGGTGAACGCGAACCCGTGATTTCCGCTTGCGGTTTTTCAAGTGTTACGCACTACTTATGACTGTATCTCGCATTGCACTTTGCCATTAAACTAAAATAGGCAGTGAATTAAAGTTAACATTGCGATTTTTTATTGCAACTTCAGTTCAATTAGATGCAGAGTCTATTTGTGCTCTCCAAATATGCCCTGTTAACTGTTGATTCCTGATAGTAGCGATAAGGTTAAAATATGATTAAGTAAGAGCAAAATAAGGACCGCGATGGTGCATTGAATAGCTTGTGAGATCAAAAAATGCATTTGCTGGTTCAAAACCAACCTGAGATAGAGTTGGCAGGTGATTGGCATAAGCACTGTGATACGGCTAAATCATGACTGCGAGAAAAATATAACAAAGGATTTCATGGTAAAGTGGGTAAAACATGAGCCTCTAATATGTGACTGTTTGGAAAGATGTTGAAGTATTGAATGTCTCTATACGCAGTAAATCACTTTGTTAGTCTTTGCCGTTTTGACTGATGACCGACTGTCTTATATTGACGGACCACTATGCAAACGCTTTTTGTATAAAAATAGTCACCAGTCATAGATACCTTCGACGAAGTTGCAAAGCTGGACGATCACTGTGCTTTGTTCGCAAAACATCATGTGCCAGAAATCATGAAGAGTTTCTGGGAGCGGACCCTGTAATTTCCAAGAATGTCATCAGCAGCCGTAGTGTTTTCACGTCAAAAGAATCTCTGATTTAAAACACCGATGGGCTTTTATTGTTGAGAACTGAGGTTTTCAGTGAGTTCGATCATTACATCTCTACTTACCTGCGTGCATATATATTTGTACTGGTCAGGCATTGTTATCCAACTTGCATGGATATAATCGTCATCCGCTGGTCTATCTTTTAAGACGACACGAGTTGCGTCAATGCAGATTATGTCGTTGTATCTGGAATCCTTAACGTGTTTTGTACTCACTGATGGCGAAAATAAGTGCATCACCTATTTTTGGGTTCATTTTTGTCGTATGCATTCGTGGTGAAATCTCGTGGTTTATAGGATTTGTTTTTGAGAACTCTTTTGAAAGCACCTTGATCGGCTAAACATATGTCTTTCGTGGATAGGAACGTAATGAATGACGATGTTTTTACTACAAAAAGTTAGCGACCTTCGTATCAATAATCATCGTGGCCCATTTCGAACGGTTGTCCTTTGACGCACCTCCACTCACAGCTCCCTTTAAGCTTTCATTCTCGGTCTAGAAATCGCAAGTTCATAAGTTTGACAGCAGTTTAGCAATGACTCTCTAAAGTCATCTCCAACTGAGTGATAATTTAAGATCAATGCAGAACACTTTTTATATATTTCGGCAATATAATTAATATGTGTATATCTCACGAAAACACATCTTGTTGAGCAGACGTCAGCTTTTTGATAGGTGTCGCTGTTGTTGATTGTTGCTGCTGCCGTTTGACGCATATCTCTTGGCGATTTCACCTTCTTCGGAACCGTTTTGTAAGTGTAACCTTGAGACCTCACATTTGCAAGACGGCTCTGGAGAAAACGAGTTTACCGAGACGTCGATTATCCAAAGATAAGACAACAATAGCGACACCGACATCAACACTTATATCAACCCCATGCGCAACCAGAACACTCCTCGAGAATTACACATATTAATTTGAAAAAGTTGCATTTCTTTGTTTAGTTTACCCTGAAAATCTTTGAAAAATGATGAGAATTGATTATTTTCCTTCAAAGATATTAGTTTTTCCGCTAGACACCAAATTCGTTAACCAGAAGTGTATCTTTCAACTGCGTATTTTCGTGTGGACAATTTGGTTAACAATCGTCTATGCTTGATTCAAGATGGAGCTGTTTTGAGACAAATTCACTTGGTAATCGTGCACGAATGACACATAGGAGAAAATGCTGGTGAAGCGATACGTAAGAATATTGAGGCTTCCTGCAGACGGCCCAAGCGCGACTGATCGTTCAGACTGCTCTGCGTCCTTTCAGACCGCTTCTTATCTGTCCTTTTGGCAACAGCATCACCGCCCTGAGCTCCGCTAAATCTTACGCACTGCTTCACTAACATTCACCCCATTTGCGCCATTCATGCATGGGTAGCATAGAAATTTATTAGTAAGGCAACTCCATCTTGGAGCAAGAATAGGAATGTTCTATACCAAGATGTTCACAAGGAAATGCGGAATTGAGTGATGTTGAAATCATGCAATTTTAATCACTTCTGGTTAGTAAATTTGGTGTTTATTGCTCTAGTGCCAAAACTTTTGACCGGACGCTATATATATATTATTATATATATATATATATATATATATATATATATATATATATATGTTAGGATGTATGTACGTTATATGTGTATATATATATATATATATATACATATAATAAAGTAATGTAGGTTTACGCAAAATTAGCATTAGTACAGAACGGTGTGGTCGCAGATTACAACGATTGATACTACGTGAATGAAAATTGCAATAACAAATAATCTTGGATTTAATAGAAGAAACTCTTGTGGCTTATGCTGTCGCTGTTTCTAAGAGTTTCTCTTGGATTCTAATGCGCAACGTGAGTTTTCCTCAAGAGGATTGTTGAAGAAACAGGGGGCTTGACGTTTTATTAGAATTATCACCTACGCCATAATATATTTCGACAAGTACGTTGATACATATTTTGAGAAGACTAGAACGTAATCAGAAAAGGTCCTCATATTAAAGGTGCTCTTCGCGACAGTTGAAACAGATCCGTGGAAATCTGAATGGTGTTTGCTAGAGTTAATCGGTGGTTGACTTGAATATAAAGGACAACTTTTTTTTGCTGCCCTCTCTTTGAAAAATACCACACTCGCTATCTAGAAGGAACCTTTTGTATCTCTGCTTCTCTTCTTGCTAATTCAATTTGCTTATTTAATTCTATAAACTGATTTCCTTTATGTTTTAAAAATATCACCTATATAGTAGTTCCGTATGCCCCACGGTCTTCTATGCACCCATCATGTTTTTTGTTCATGTAAAACTCTTAAATGTGGTGAAGAACTGCACTTGACCACTATGCACTCATATGCTATAAGCATATTTTGGTTGTATAAGTTATATAACTAAGAGAATTGAGTGGTGAGCAAAAACATATCCGACCAAAGCTGTCAGAAATTGGTAGCTGATAGCTAACATAGAGATGTTGAAGAATGAGTGGTCGGGCAGACGTGACTCAGTCGTGTAGTGGTAGAGCACGTGTTTCCGGATGCGATGAAACGTGGGTTCGACTCCCGCCTGAGGCCGTGTTTTTGCTCACCACTCAATTCTTTTAGTTATATAAGTAACATCATAACATACGAAAAAAGCAGTAGAAATACTATAATTTCGTTGTATTAGTTATCCATAAAAATTTGCGGTCTTGTCTAGCATTTCAATTCCTTTTTATTTTGTACCACACCCAAAATCATCGTGACGATCATAATCAAAGTTCAGTAAATTGTGCACCAAAAAAGAAGTCGAATTCAGCATGCGTTGCCAGGTGACAGATAGAATTGTTTATGCACCTTTTCACTTGCTACACTGTTTATACACGCACTGTCTTCAAAAGTAGCAGTCTCTCGCCAAAAATAGGAAATTGAGCGGGAAATTATTTAAAGGTAAAAATTCGGGACGTCCGCCCGTGGGTGATACGTCCGCTCCACTATAAGTGCGTTGAATAAAGGTGCCGGTTGGTTATCAGAAGTCTAGGAAAAAACTGAAATAGACCACTAGAAAGAAGTAAAAATCTGTAGGTCCATAGTGGTCAGTCCTGCAAAAGCTCCGCAACAGCAATGAAATAATTCGCCTTATTTTGGAATGACTTATTTGTAATAAAAGGTGGTAGATTGTTGCATGGCAACAGATACGAGTATTGCAGCACATTATGTCAGAAGCTGAATGCCAAGGGCACCAAATTTGCAAAATTGCTGGAAGACATTTGCCAGATTTGTTTTTAAGTTCATTAAAGATCGTTACTAATGCATGTTGAAAAGCACCGCCTCCATTTGACTAAGACACGCATTGTAGGCTCTCTTGCCTGGATGGTTTATAGACAGATCCTAGAAGCTTTCTCGACAAATTTTCTCACACGTATAACTTCTGTTTTTTGTTGAAACCAGTGGTAAAAATTCATTTATGGCAATTCCATTGCTAAACACATGAGGATAGGGAGAAGAAAAGTAGAGACACTGTTCATAAAGTAGTAGTATAGTATATGCTATAATTTTTTTGCCCTACTTACCAAGTCAAATCTTTAAAATGATTTATCTCTCAAATCTACTGCATGGAACCAGCACTCCTTGCCTTGGCTTCTTTACATCAGTCATCCACGAATGTTTTCGAACTATTAGTATTTGAGTTTAGCTGCTTGTTGAGGATTTTTCATTCATAACGAATGATGTGAAATGCCGGTCGATTCAATTCTCCTTCGACTCTTTCAATGAATGAGATAGAGCGTTAAAACTTGCCCGCACAGTGAGATAATCCTAGAAAGGTGTGGTACCAATTTTCTGACACCTAAAGGTGATTAATTCGTTGAACGCGGAGGAAGGTCGAACCAGGCTGTTTATGACGATCGGCATCACTACCACTTCCCTACTCGCCGCCAAATGCACACTTGCTGTGAACAACTGGAAACTGAACATACCAACGCTCACAGTGTTATACAAACCTTTTTTCAACTATTCAATCAGGATGTTCCAACTTGGCAGCTATGCATTTCGTTAAGGAGTTTGCTGAAGAAATCTTAAAAAGTCTAAATCAGAGCACACCTTTCCTCCCGTCATGGCATCATCGTCGATGTCATTCGCTTTCTTCAAAAAATCCTGCAGTCTCTTGAATTGATCCAATGAGTCAGAAACCCATGAAGGACTAGTTGTAAAAGTGTTGCATTATCCAAACTAAGCATGAGCATATATTATGAATGAAGAAGTTGTATACTAACCCTTTTACGGTCATTAGGTGATCGTCTTGCCCTGTTCATCACGTTTTCCTTAAAATATATCTCTTACTAATGTGATAGCAATGCTGACATTGTTGAATGAAGTGGCAGGCTGACAATGACCTAGTGAGTCAAGTAGCTTACAAACACTCAACAACAACCAACCTGTTTGACAGCAAAGTTTGAATGAACAATACTTTCTTGTGTTTGTTTCAAAAAATTGTGATAAATGAAGAGTTAGTATCAATGGAAAAAACATGATCATTGCTGATAGATGAATAATAATCGCGAGTTTGGTGAGACTAATTGCCCTGAAATTTCCTTGCTTCCAAGCACTTGTGAACAATTCAAAATGATTACGTTCATCCAAATATACAAAAAGAGATGTATTACGTATTTACATTCACCACAGACCTTCATAGAAGGATTACTCACCGCTTGTTCACAAGGCTGCGTAGCGTGTTTTCCACGTGTCATACAGGAGGATTAAATGCTCTCGAGAAGGGAAGATGACTTTCACCACTGTAACGCACGTCGATACACAGTATGGACTCCTTTTTTTGCTGCGCTAAAATTTACATTGATATACTCTTCATCAAGTTTTTGTAAGGCGACCTCAGTTCGTTTTTAGACTGGTGGACCTTTCTGCGAGAGTGCGCCTTCCCCGCTACATCTCTACACCTGCGAAAACTCCTAAGACATGCTTGAGCGCCAAATTAATCAATGGTGATTATTCAATATACTCATTGTACAGTGCAATTCAAGCATACACTCGCGCTGCCGTTTGTGCACAAACTAATCATAGCGTCACAATGAAGCCAGTATGGATTTAATAGTCAATGATAATTTTGATGAGGCAAACTAATTTAGTGGGATCGTGATACTGTTCTTTGGGCAGAAACTAAAATAAATGTACTAGGTCAGAAGGGGCTTTGAAAATGGCTTCAAAGGAACATAATTACCGCAACCACGACCAGTAGAGAGATCATGTAAAGTGTAATGTGATAAACTTCCTAAAGTTTTCCTTATACTCCACATCATAACAAGGTGTAATTGAGAAATTGAGGTATTTCATTATGTTTCACTCTGGAAAAGCTCTATAGAGGACGCCATACTCACACCAAAATAATTTCAGTAAGATTTTAACTTAAGTGAACGTTTCAAGACTAGAGTCTCTGAATGCTCAAATGGTCTCTATGTTTAATTTGTTACAAATTACAAGCTTTTCATGAGATCTGTCATGTCACCTCTAGTGCAAGATTTACGTTTCAGGTTATACTACCAAGCCTCATTAGTAACTCGTACTTTTCCTTTCAGCCAGTCACCTACATGTAGTATAAAGTAATCGCAAACATTTTACAATGCATGTCCGGTGAAGAAATCGCTTGGCATTCCAATGACAGGCGATTGCTCGATGGTTGGTAAGATAACATTGTAATACCTTCATATTCGACTGTTTTTTCGAACGTCGATCGAAGCAATATAATCTGACAATATATATTTTTGAGCCTCTCATGAGGTTTTTTATAGACACCTAATTAGTGCAATACACGTGTTTCGGCCTTGCAGCCCTGTCATTTGCACGGTGCCTTTCGTCTGAGCCAATTCCTGATGTCTGAAAAAATAGTCGAATGTGAAGGTAACTGAAAAACACTAGACTCGAGCAATCGGCTACTGATCAGTGCAGTGTCCGGTAATCATGTCACAGGACATGCAGTGACACGTTACTCGTGAGTGAAAGATATCTACTTCACATGCCGCAGTGTAACATGCTCTCGACGAATCCTTCATGTTAAAGAGTTCTCCCCAAAAGGATTGGCTCAGAAGAAAGGCACCGTGCAACTGACGACGCTGCAAGGACGAAACACGTGTGTCGCACTATCATTCTATTGTAAGTCCTTTCTTATCGACTTTTTTGGGACATCGCTTGAAACAACATAATCTGATAACATACTTTAGGCCTTTCATAACGCTTGCTATGGAAGAAATCACAATACCACGAAAATCGTGACCAAAAGTGTGAGAGCGATGTATGAGTATTCCCTTCATCATCTTTGGCTATGCTTATTAAGAAGATAACGAACATATATCCAGTTTATTTTGAAGGTCTTCAGTCTGTTCTACCCACGCTGTACCTAGAAATATCTTGAATGAGAGATATTTCGCAGGACTGGCCACACCCACTTCCAATCGAGGGTTCTCCGCAGTCGATGTCGCCTTTGTCCCAAATTTTTTCGAATCTTAAGTTTCCTTTTGATGAGATACGACCACCGAACAGCCTTTTAGATTTGCACAGAATGATCATTACTTATGTTTTACCCGAACATGTCATCAGCAACAGAAGACCTAAAGCGTAAATTTAATTTAATCTTAGTCGTAAATATGTTACGCGTAAAATGAATGTATTTTAGGCATGACTAACGCATTCTGATATTTCTGAAAAAGCTTTTGGTGCGTGAAAAAACATGATATGAAGTATTAGAGCCAAATATAAGCATTCTGTCAATCATTCTAAATTCACAAGACGGTATTGATCTTCTTATCATTTTTTACTACTCCCTTAATGTAATCTCTAAGCGTCTAATATGCAAATATCAGTTTTATTTGTTCATTAAAAAAGTTTTTATCCTTCAAGGGCGCCGTTATCTAAAAGCGTAGTATCACTTAAATCAATTCAGCGAAAGAACTAAACAGACGTCTATTAAGCCAAGTAATAATGCTCAATTCACATGAAAAATCATGATGAATGTCTGCTTTTTATAGGAGAGAAAAACCTTTATGAGCTTGATAATTCAGCTTTCTGTTATTGAATTTCTCCATACTTCGATAATTAATCTGAGAAGCTACCATAAATTTTTGAAGTAAAAAGGCATAAAATGTGTTAATGATGTACCTGTACACCGAAGGAGCTGGACGCTTTAAATTACGATTACAAAATCAATGACTATTACACCATTTGGGTTCTCTCTTATTAGACTGTTATATAGATCCTTTGGAATTTCGACACTTTTTTTTATTTCAGTTGTTTTTTTTTTTGAAGAAATCTTAATCAACATGATGATCACATCATGGTAACTGATATGCAGCCATTTGCTGGACAAATATTGGACGCCTTCTTTTCACGAGGAATGAAGCTGGGCATTAAAGAAGGTGGTGAGGTCACTTTTAAGCTGGCTTTAGTAGTTGAATTTTTCCTCGCGCAGGTGCTGATTTGGAGCGCGGAAGAGATAATAATCAATGAAGCAATATCAGAGCTATAAGGCGGATGTAGTACCGGGTCCAGACAGTTTTCCCACATTGTCGCGAGTTAACTTCTTAATGTGC